TTAAAGTCGGAAATTGGAACATATCCTCACTCAGAGGGAACGATCAACAAATATTTGATGAAACCATAAAGCACCAACTCGACCTTGTTGGACTCTCGTCAACGAAGCGCCAGCGTCATTTCGCTGGAATCCTGAACCTCACCAGGAAAAAACTATTCTAGTCAGGTGCCGATATCACGACGCGCTCAGGCCAGTGGTGATGTTCTGGTAGAACCCAACCTCGCAGATAGAATCATTGATTGGAAGCCTGACAGCAGTAATCCTCCGACTGAAACTACAACAGGCTAAAGCGTTGACCTTCTTACAGGTATCTGCGCCCATTTCGAGGAAGAATATCATTCCTTCCTTGAGGAAGTGGAATGTGCTCTGTACGAATTGCCATATACAGAGTCCCTCATACTCATGGGCGATTTTAATGCGCATGTCGGAGTAGACGCTGAAAAGTGGAACGGCGTGATAGGAAAGAACCGCCCTAGCGACCTTAACAATAACGGCACGAAGTTGTTGAGCTTTTCTGCAAACAACGAGCTGCCCATTACGAACACCGAGCATCGAAGAATGCATCAATATTTTCGATACAGAGAAGCTTGTGCACGTGTTTTGCTGACCTAAAGAATCTCTGTGGCCGGATGCCACGCAACAGTCTGTGGGCATACTTACAAACATGGGATCGACGGCCAGTTGCTACGGGCCATCCAATCATCATATGTTGATAGCAGGTGCTACGTCAGAGTAAACGGCGTTAAGTACTAACTTTTCAACGTTGGTACTGGTCTCCGAAAAGGCTTCGTCCTGTCCTCTCCTGTTTGTCTTGTACATAGATAGGCAAGTCTGGAACAGCCAAGACGATGAATGTATCGGTGTAGGAGATGTGTAGATGAGAAAGTTACATTTTGAAGTCAATCTTGTTATATTGGCATCTTCTCAAATTGATCCTCAGCGTTCACTGAAAAAGCTCACAGTAGGGTACAGCGTAGAAAGCATGCGCGTGAGCGTACCTAAAACCAGAAGCATAATGCTTTCTCATTCTGCTGCCTGTTATTCTCTTGAGATTAACGGCGAAGCAGTATAGCAGGTTAAGAATTTCAGGTACCTGAGTGTCGTATTTTCTACTAATAGAAAATTTGAGGAAGAGATCGACCAGCGAATTGGAGTAGCCAGTGGCGTTCTGCGTGAACTATCCTGAGCCACTGTGACTAAAGCAGAACTGAGTTAGCAAATTATGCTCTCGGTATTCGAGTCTGTCTTTATCCCCATGCTTACGTGCGGTCATCAGTGGTGGGCGGTGACTGAGAAGCTTCGAACCCGGATGCAAGCTGCTGATATGGGCTTTCTTAGACAAGTCGCTGGCCTTACGCGTCTCGACATGGTCCGGAATACACGCATCCGCGAGTGACTTGGTGTACAGCCGCTGTTTCTTCAAACTGAGAAGTGACAGCTGCGATGGTTTGGCTATGTGTTGTGAATGTCTCCACAAAGGAAGGCTAAGCAACTTTTCCTTGCAAATCTGACCGGCAGAAGGCCTACTGGACGGCCAAGATTAACCTGTTGCAAATATAAGGAATGAGTCTGTTCCAGACTCCAGTTGTCTTCTGCCGATGCTCAGACTCTGGCACAGGATCGGGAACGTGGGAAGCACTGTCTGAAGCGTCTGTCTCCCAGAGCCGAAAGTAGAAGCGGTCAAGGAAGATGATGATGACAAATGATCACATGCTCTATTTCCAAAATCTCCTCCGTATCATTGAATGAAGAATCTTATTTCCTTTTTAGCCTGTTTTGGTCTTGATTGATGCGTTTCCTCTTTGTTGTTTCTTCTTTCTATTTCTTATGTGCCTATGCCTTATTCTAGTTTATTTTCGTTCTCCTTCTTCCTGTTTAATTTAATTTTTTATATGATGTTTATTCGCACGTTTTTTCTTTCTTCTTCAGAATCGCCTCTTTCATATGACGAGACCTAAAATTAAACAAATTGTGATCTTAATTAAGTAAATCTCAACTTTGAGAGCCCGTTGCGATGCAGCTTGCTCCGATGGTTGCGTTGCGTAAATCTTCGGTATACACTGTAAATTTACAATTTACTCACCGTTTTGAAATATCGTATCTTCCTGACCATTTGGCATGGACCGTGCTGGACATTTGGCAAGATAATCATAAGATCGATCGAAATTCATCTCTTCGACGAATGTGGTGTGCTATATTGCGTACTACGTTTTTTTCGAAAAGCTATGCAATGTGAAATGAGAAGGCATAAGAGGCGCAGCAGTTCATATCATACTCCTCGCGATATGTCATTTGCTCAAACGCAGTTCTGCTTGCAGACCAGCCGTAATCTGCAAGATCTTAGCAGTCAAGTAATAAAATGAAGCTTTGTTTCTACTAGTCGATTTTCGTCACAATTTTCTCATTCATTCATTAATAACTGTGATCATCAACAGTCGTAAGCATGGGTTTAATGTGAAATCCACTAAGCCTTTCTGCATGTCTAACGAATTCCACTAAAAGAAATGCCAAAGCACTTGCTTGTTGCTCTTCTGACCAGCAGAACACCCTTTCTCGGTCTTTTAATTTTCACATATAACTTTTTCTAATTCCAAACAATCTTTTGAGCTTTTGAACGTCTATAAACTAGAACTATGAACTATCTATTGACTTACTAACCAGTCTTTCGAAGAAGTTTAATCAACTACATCTTAGTTAAATGATTCTTAAAAAAGACGTTGCATTTATTTCTGAATCTGAAACTACTGATTCTAACTGCTTGTTGTCTCTTCTCTTTTCAGTTTGTGAGTATCGTTTCGAAAGTGGCTAACGCCTTAGAATTGGTGTATTTTTCTCGACCAGCAAACACAGTATTCTAGGCATTTTTCTCTGCTGTTCAACTTTTATGTAATTTTGGAGAAGAATACAAACTGCCAGTTCATGTTGAAGCAATGATCTATAATTCAGCTTCTAATTTACTTCGAATTTTTAGCTGGTAAACAGGTGGACAGCGAGCAGCTGGAAGAAATGATTGAAAGCGGTAATCCGGCAATATTCACGCAGGGCGTAAGTACTCCG